TCTTTGCGGTATATTTTCGTATGGTTTTTATGGCTGCATACTCGTTTTTTTGGTCTCATTTGATAGAATGGAAGATATATTACAGAAATAGACATGATTTTGATAGCTTTCATGATGAAAAGTACCTTGAAATTGAGCTCAAAGTAGTGGAAATGCTGGATTTTTGCTGGTGTTCAATGAACTTTGTATAAGTCAAGTTGGTTAATTTTATTAAGTGTATTCTAACCAAACCACTCTGTAATCCGGCAAACTCAGTAATCCGGCACACTACAGGTCCCAGTGATGCCGGATTTGTGATGGAGGACCTGTAATAATAATAATATAATATATAATAATATGTATAAATACAGTGGACCCCCAGTTATCAGCCGTAATCTGCTCCTGAAGGTCGGCCAATAACCGAAATGGCCGATAACCAAATTAATATTTCCCATAAGAATTAATGGAAATACAGTGGACCCCCGGTTAACGAACTTTTTTCATTCCATATATGTTCAAGTGCCAGTACTGACCGATTTTATTTCCCATAAGGAATATTGTGAAGTAGATTAGTCCATTTCAGACCCCCAAACATACACGTACAAACGCACTTACATAAATACACTTACATCCCATTGTCGCATTTGGAGTGATCGTTAAGCGGGGTCCCATGTACAATTAATTCCGTCCAACAAAAATATTCACACAAAAAATTATTTTTTTTACAATTATTAAGTAGTACATTTCCTAACCATACTGGCTTCTGGAGTTCAGGGAGGAGAAATAGGGAGGAGTTAGTGTTTAAGGGGCATCCCCCATAAAGACTTTAGGTAGCAAAGCCTCTTGGGGTTACTTCTCTCTGTCTTTTAATGCCACTAGGGCAGTTGAGAGTTCACTGGAACCCCTGTCTCACAAATAACTGTCCAGGTGCTCTGTTTCTGCATCTTTTTAAGATTTTCCCTGAGTGGACAGGTGTTTGTCACTAACATGTTGCAGTATGGCTTGTTTCAGCTTCGTTAGGGTGGTGTTTGTCCTTCACCTTAAAAGCTTGCGCCCTTGTCCACATTGCACACACTCTTTAATCTCTGAAGAAGGCACCTCCTTCACATCCCTCTTCCTCCTCTGAAGTAAGTTCCAGCTGCAATCTTTGCTGTTCAAGTTGCAGTCTTCAGTGGTAAGCTCCTTCCCGGTCCCCACCAACTCTCCAAACTTGCCACGGCACCCAACCCCTTTGCAACAAGTTGCTTTGATTTGTTCTCTCTTGGCCAGACGGATGTAATTGTTGATTTATCTCTTGCTGTAATCCTGGCAGTTCCATCCCCTTCATACATCTCAAACATTTGATCACTTCCACGCTTAATATTCCATGGTGTTTTCTCACTTCTTTACCACAGGAACTTTACTAGGAACTTTCTTTGAGCCATGTTATTATTTCACATTGCACTGCAAGAAAAACCATAAAAAACAATGGTAAACAAGCGAAAGTTTGGATGTATGAGGGAGAAGCTTCCCAGCCCCAAGAGCAAAGCAAACTGGAGCGCAAGCTGCCCCAGCCACGATGGATGCCTCCAAAAACGGCCGATAAAGGGGACCGGGAAACCCCGCGATAAACCAAGTTTTGGGGATAACCAAACAGGGGCCTAATAGGGGTCCACGTATAAATAAAGTACTACAATAATAATTATAATAGACAGCTTCGAAAGGCCGTCACTAGATGGCAGTGAATACTACAACAATGCGGGAGCAACTATGGCCACCTCCACTTGTCACATAATGACATATTTTATTCATTCTAGAGTATTTATCAGGTTTCTATGTTATTTATATTGCTTATTATGTCATATCAAATCAATTGTGTTAGATAAATAAGCTGTAGAATTGATATTAGCATCATACTGAAGGAGTATTTTGTCCTGTCTCCAAACAATAAACTCTCCTCTGCAGCCGGCACCACTGCAAAGCCACATATGTTATTCATTCTAGAGTATATATCAGGTTTCTATGTTATTTATATTGTTTATTATGTCACGTTAGATCAATTGTGATAGAGTTGATATTAGCGTTATGTTGAAGTGTATTTTTCCTGCCTCTGAGAGCAGGAATTCCACCAGAATGGATTAATGGCTTTTCAATTAATTTAAATGAGGAAAATTGACTCAGCATATGAACAAATCAGGATACGAACAAGGTCGCATTATTAAGTTCGTAAGCCGAGGTTCCACTGTACAATGGATTCTCGACCAACGATATTAATCTGTTCCTGAGAGCTCATCGTTAGTCGAAATTATCGTTAGTCGAGTTAATTTTCCCCATAAGAAATAATGGAAATCAAATTAATCCGTTCCTGACACCCCAAAGTATTGAAAAAAAAAAATTTTACCACATGAAATATTAATTTTAATACACACAAGCTGAAGAAGACATGTACAATTACATGACACTTACCTTTATTGAAGATCTGGTGATGATTGATGGGATGGGAGGAGGGGAGAGTGTGGATGGTGTTAGTGTTTAGAAGGGGAATCCCCTTCCATTAGGACTTGAGGTGTCAAGTCCTTTTCCAGGGTTACTTCCCTTCTTCTTTTAATGCCACTAGGACCAGCTTGAGAGTCATTGGACCTCTGTCGCACAACATATCTGTCCATAGAGCTCTGTACCTCCCGTTCCTTTACAATTTGTCTAAAATGGGCCACAACATTGTCATTGTAATAGTCACCAGCTCGGCTTGCAATAGCTGTGTTAGGGTGATTTTCATCCATAAAGGTTTGCAGCTCAACCCACTTTGCACACATTTCCTTAATCTTTGAAGTAGGTGCAATGGATTCCACAACTGGCATAGGCGTCTCAGGGTCAGCCCCAAACCCTTCAAAATCTTTCTTACTTTCCATACTAATTCTCACCCTTTTTATCACAGGGATGGCACTAGAAGCTTTCTTGGGGCCCATGGTGACTTATTTTGCAGGTGCAATCACTAAAAACGCTGTGATAATATGAAATGTTCCGAGTGTATGTTTGGATGTGATCGTGGTGGCTGGCTTGTAAACACTGTGCAGGCCACACATGGACGCGTCGCGAATGGAACGAATCGCGTTGGTTGAGCTTTTTAGCACTAGTCGAGGCAAAAATTTTGCATTAAAACTTATCGCTAGTCGGATTTAACGTTATATGATGCCATCGTTGGTCGAGGGTCCACTGTACTATATACACAAAACATTATTCTCCAATATAATCCCTCCTCTCAAACTCCTTGAGAACTAGAACAGAATGCACTTGCATAACAAAAGACACAAAACACTCTTTGATATCCCTTGTGTCCATCTCTCCCTATGCAAAAATTCTATGCTTATAAAGGGCCCTAAGATCTGGAATTATTTGTCTGAACATACAAAAGGGCCCCTGCCAGCATACCAATTTATTTATTTATTTATTTATTTATTTGACATGATACAGAGAAGTACAAAGGAATACAGTTATTAAAGTGCAATATGCTCTGCATAGAAATCACCTCATCTCCCAAACTTAACCAAACAAACGCTATATATTATGCCACCATCAACTCAAAAATTTCCAAATATTATAAGATTATTTCAAAACTAAAACGGTCTCAATCTCATTATGTAAAATGTGCCAAAATATAATAGTGTAACCTGTTAATCAATTACTTGTTAATTCAATTACTGCTAAACCACTACTACCTCTGTTGAAATATAATAAACAATGTTCAATTCAAACCAATTTTGATATAAATGCCTAGCATCAAGTAGTCTGTTAAGCATTAAGTTTAGTCTGCCCGAAATGCCCCGGCATGATAGTGGCTTTCTTTGCACTTAGCAAATCAAAACTGTAATTACACATTGCAAACTATGCAAAGAAATAAAATCCTTATTCCTCTAAAAAAACAAAAACAAATGTATACATATAGCTCTACTGTTTAACCCTTTCAGGGTCCAGAGGCCAAATCTCAAAGTGACAGCCAGGGTCCAAGAATTTAAAAAAAAGAAAATTTTTGTTATTTTTTCTTATGAAATGGTACAGAATTTTCTTCTGAAGGTAATAAAGCAAAAAGTAAGAAATTTAATGAAAAACTGACGAAATTATGCTCTCGCAAATTTTGATACGTAAGTGATATTTATGCATTGGCGATTTTGCTGACTTTGACTCCCATTTTAGGCCAGTTACATTATTCCAGTTGACCAAATTCTTAGTTATTTCACTAGTATTACTTCTATTTTTATTGACTGAGCACAAGAAATGGCCCAGCCAATTGTTTCAACTACCCAATAAAGTGATCGGAAATTGGTAATTTGGCCAATTTAACACAAAGTTCAAAATATTCCAATTTGAAAATGGGGTCCAGAATAATCAATGCAGGCATTCCTAGCACTAAACTAACATTTCCTCTGTTCATTAGTTATGTTTTCAGGCTTTACAAATGAATTCCAGTTTGATTTTTTTTTTCACATAATGAATTTTTATTCGCACCAAAAAATAGAAGATTTACTGTTATGCAATGTTGTAATAATTGTATAAATAATATCAGCACATTTGTGCACATATATTAGACCCACCAGCTGACCCGTATTAGATTCGTGACGACATTTGTTTACTCTTGAACATTGGCTAAACTTGATCATTTCTGCTACTTTGAGCTCATTTTCAGTACTAAAACCAATCAAAATCATCTTTATTTCTGTGATATATATTCTAATCTGTCAAATGAGACCAAGAAAGAGTGAATACAACTGTAAAAAAAAAACACGAAAAAACACCGCAAAGTCGCTGTTTTAATCCAAAATTATGGTCGCAGTTTTTTTCTCTTATTATGCACTGCATGCTGCAGGATTTGTTTTATGTGGTGCACAGTTACCACATAGATGTGTTCTCTCATATCTAGGCCCAATTTACCACTCACAGGTTATCTGAGTGAGCTGAGCTCATGGCATAGATCTACGGTTTGGACCCTGGCTTCAAAGCTGTAGATCTACGGCACGGACCCTGAAAAGGTTAAAGCAAATACAGTACATCATTAAAATTTTATGCAAAATTTACACAAATAGAGACCCCTGGAGAGCAGCTCTCCATACAATGCTGATGACAGCTCTTCTTAAATGTAACAAAAAAAAAAAAGAATAACTGAAAACCTAGTGTACTGCATCAACAAATATCACAATCAATTATTGTACAAGATGTACTCCTTAATGCAGATTATTTGTATTTTTTATATACATAGTACTATTTTAAGAGTCCAATAATTTGTCTTTCTCATCATTAGCGGCTGTTACTGTTTGATGCTCAGATACTTCCGTATCTTTTTCTCCAAGTCTTGCTGCAAACTGTATACACTGGTTATGGAATGGTGATTCCTCATAAAGTGGTAGGTTGGTGAATATTTTGTATGCTAGTAGAAGCTGCTCCAGAGTTAGGTTCTTGGGATGGTTGAATATATTCAAACCATTCTGAAAAATAATGTTTATATATGTTATTTAAGGTCACTCATCAATGTTTATTTTACAAACACAAAAGCTAACTCTAAATTAAATATATTTGTTTAAGAATGCATAATGCCAATGATTGTTAGCATTGCCTCAGTGTTTTGATACACTATGAAAAACCAATGAATGCAGTAAAAGAAAAAAGTCAACCTTGAGTACTGGATTACAAGATTAACTAGGAAGACCTACATATCCTGCAATCTGTTATATATGGTAGTTGTTCTAGGAACTATCACCCCTGCAGTCTGGTCTCAGACCATGCCTCCTAGGGTGGAAAGAAAATACAGTGGAACCTCTACTTATGAATGCCCCAACATGGGAGTTTTTCAAGATAGGAGCAGTCGCTCGGTCGATTTTTTGCTTCCGGATGCAAGCAAAATTTCAAGATGAGAGCGGGCCTCAAGGGAGGTTCCTTGATGCTGGTGAGGGGCTCTTGCTCTTGATCTAGCGAATTGGATCTCATTTGTTTGTTCGACTATCTTATTGAAACTTAGGCAATGTATGATGGAAAGATGCTTCTTAACGTACACCAAAATTGAAAGAAATCGGACCATAAATAATGGAGTTCACTTCTCAGCCATTAGCTGCTCCTTAGCAGTATACTTTCATATGGGTTTTACGGGTTTTATCACTGATTACATCATTGCTTAGTTAATCTTAAGTTAATTTTAAGCCAGCCCGTAATGCTATGCATACAAGTGGCTTTGGCATGCTGCTCTTACCTGTATTTTTTTGTACCTCTGCATGTATGTTCAAATTATTAAATAAATAAATAAATAAATAAATAAATAAATGGAAGATATATTACAGAAATAGATAGGAATTTGATTGGTTTCATGACGAAAAGTACCTTGAAATTGAGCTCGAAGTAGCAAAAATGTTCGATTCTTTGGCGATGTTCAAGAGTAAACAAATGATATCACTGTCCAATACCTGTCCGACTGGCCAGTAAAATACGCAGTCATAAGTATGTTATTCAGGTACAGAAAGGCCCTGATTTACGGCATTCCACTAATACGGCGATTACAAATTATGACCAAAACTTTCTTTGTAGCGAGAGGTCTTTCAAATACGGCACATGCCACCCAGTTTGTTTACATTCTCCATGAGCACATCTCTCTATTATGTAATAATTATCACTCTTGGGCACATTAAATGTCTTATTTTACATCAATACATATAGACATTTTCATTAGTTCATCAACGATATTTTCTTCAAAATTGTATAACACATTACATGGAATAAAAACATTTTATGTTTATATACTGTAGAGGTGTGGTAGCCGGGTGGAGGGAAAACATTACGTCATTCCCCTTTGACTTTTTTGGTCGTATATATACGTCTTACGAGCCACCGTGTTTGATGTATATATACTCATAAATTCTAGCGGCTTCAAATCAAGCCACCGCGGTCGCTTCCAAGCATACAATCGGAACATTTCTTATTATCACAGCCTTTTTAGTGATTGCACCTGCAAAATAAGTCACCATGGGCCCCAAGAAAGCTTCTAGTGCCAACCCTACAGGAAAAAGGGTGAGAATTACTATGGATATGAAGAAAGAGATCATTGCTAAGTATGAAAGTGGAGTGCATGTCTCCGAGCTGGCCAGGTTGTACACAAAACCCCAATCAACCATCACTACTATTATGGCCAAGAAAACGGCAATCAAGGAAGCTGTTCTTGCCAAAGGTGCAACTTTGTTTTCAAAACAGAGATCACAAGTGATAGAAGATGTTGAGAGACTGTTATTGGTGTGGATAAACTAAAAACAGATAGCAGGAGATAGCATCTCTCAAGCAATCATATGTGAAAAGGCTAGGAAGTTGCATGACGATTTAATTAGAAAAATGCCTGCAACTAGTGGTGATGTGAGTGAATTTAAGGCCAGCAAAGGTTGGTTTGAGAGATTTAAGAATCGTAGTGGCATACATAGTGTGATAAGGCATGGTGAGGCTGCCAGTTTGGACCACAAAGCGGCTGAAAAATATGTGCAGGAATTCAAGGAGTACATAGACAGTGAAGGACTGAAACCTGAACAAGTGTTTAATTGTGACAAAACAGGCCTGTTTTGGAAGAAAATGCCAAGCAGGACCTACATTACTCAGGAGGAAAAGGCACTCCTAGGACATAAGCCTATGAAAGACAGGCTTACTCTTTTGATGTGTGCTAATGCTAGTGGTGATTGCAAAGTGAAGCCTTCATTGGTACATCACTCTGAAACTCCCAGAGCGTTCAGGCAAAAGAATGTCCTCAAGGCTAATTTGTGTGTGCTGTGGAGGGCAAACAGTAAGGAATGGGTCACTAGGGACTTTTTCTATGACTGGTTACACCATGCATTTGCCCCCACTGTGAAAAATTACCTAATGGAAAAGAAATTGGACCTTAAGTGCCTCCTGTTATTAGACAATGCTCCTTGTCATCCTTCAGACTTGACAGAGCGACTTTCTGGGGACATGAGCTTCATTAAGGTCAAGTTTTTGCCTCCTCTCCTGCAGCCCATGGACCAGCAGGTCATTTCAAACTTCAAAAAACTCTACGCAAAATCTATGTTTCTAAAGTGTTTTGAAGTGACCTCAGACACTCGATTGACTCTAAAGAGTTTTGGAAAGATCACTTTAGAATCTCAGTTGTGTAAACCTTATAGGTAAGGCTTGGGAGGGCGTGACTAAGAGGACCTTGAACTCTGCTTGGAAGAAACTGTGGCCACAATGTGTAGAAGAAAGGGATTTTGAGGGGTTTGGGGATAACCCTGAGAAGCGTATGCCAGTTGTGGAATCCATTGTGGCGTTGGGGAAGTCCTTGGGGTTGGAGGTTAGTGGGGAGGATGTGGAAGAGTTGGTGGAGGAGGACAATGAAGAAGTAACCACTGATGAGCTGCAAGATCATCTTCAACAGCAAGAGGCCAGACTTGAGGAAACTGCTTCAGAGGAGGGGAGAGAGAAATTGAGGAAGTTGCCTACTTCAAAGATTAAGGAAATGTGTGCAAAGTGGGTTGAACTGCAAACCTTTACGGATGAAAATCACCCTGACACAGCTACTGCAAGCTGTGTTGGCAACCTGTACAATGACAATGTTATGGCCCATTTTAGGAAAGTCTTACAGGAACAGGAGGTACAGAGCTCTATGGACAGATTTGTTGTGCGACAGAGGTCCAGTGACTCTCAAGCTGGTCCTAGTGGCATTAAAAGGGAAGTAACCCTGGAAAAGGACTTGCTACTTCAAGTCCTAATGGAAGGGGATTCCCCTTCTAAACAATAGCTTCCACATTCTCCCCTCCTCCCATCCCATCCTGTCTCACACTGTGCATGATGGGAGAAGCAAAACTCAGACCTTGTGTTAGACTTAAAACAGCAACTTAGCAGTGGTTTTATTGGCTGTCTCTTGGTATCATTTGATAGAAGGGAAGACACACTACTAAAATAGAGATGATTTTGGTTGGTTTCAGAAATAGCTTAAATTTGGACTCAAATTAGTGGAAATATTCAATTTTTGAAGATTTTCTTGAGGATAGGTAAGGGCCCCCATGCACCCCTCGGTCTGTTTCATAGGTTTTTAATAAATCTAATTCAATTATTGGGATGGTGTAAACCATGAAACCCTGAGCAAGTGATTACTTAGATGGGAATTTCCCAACCTTCTATCTTGCACCTACTGAGCCCACTGAAGTTACCTTGCTTATCAAGTTACTTAACCCCTTGACTGTTTTGGTCATATATATACGTCATACGAGATACCGTGTTTGACGTATCTATACGCATAAATTCTAGTGGCTCCAAATCAAGTGAAAGAGGGCTGGTAGGCCTACATGAGAGAGAATGGGTCTCAGTGGTGGGTGTGCACCCTGTGAAAAAAATCTGGGACTCAGCGGTGCATTGTGGGAACGCCATCTTGGTAGTCCATTTTCACCATGCCTCACGGTAAGAAGTTCCTCACTCCTTGGCGGACTGGAGGTCTTTTGTTCCCAAGTGACAGCTCTAACAGCGATGAAAGTGTCAGTGAAAGTGAATTCCCTGGTTTTCAAGCGGGTGTGACCGAAAACAGTGCCCAGGATAACGGAATTAGTGATGAAAACCCAGATGACCCACAACCTTCCACCTCTGGTGCTAGGCCGACTAGTTCATGTTCATCTGTACCAGGACAAAAGAGGAAACTATTTGCCCGTGAACGAGACTCAGATGTGAGCAGTGAAAGTGATAGTGATAGTAATTTCAAAGCTATTGAAAGCAGTTCTAGTTGCAGCAGTGAGGGTGAATATTCCCCAGTGAAGCAGCAGTATATACGACGTCGCTTGCGGTCTGGTAGTGAGCCATATGCTGTTCCAAGGGGAAGGAGTAAATCTCGGAGCACATCTCGTGGCCCTACACCACGACCTGATAGTGAAGATGATGATAGTGTTACAATGGGTATGAATGATGCGAGTGAGGCAGCAGGCGGTGGTGGTGATAGTGATGGTAGCATGAGTCATGTGGCACCAGCAGCGGGCCACACTACTACCGACGCTGCTGACTCTGCACAACTACAACCAGCCTCACCTAACCCCACACTCCCACAACAACCACAACCACAACCTGCACAACCACAACCACGTTTCAATATCCAGAACCCACCAGCTGACCGCATCTGGGATTGGCAGCAAGGTGACGAGTTTGGTCCCAGTCCCCATGACTTTGATGAAACACTAAGTGGAATACGGCCATCGTGTACACTTGGGAACAATGCCACTGAACTGGAATGCTTTCAGTTGTTCTTCGATGAACCCCTGATGGATATTATTGTCAGGGAAAGCAATACATACTTCGAGTACACAATGGCAAACACAATTCTTTCACCAAGATCACGCCTACACCAGTGGAAGGACACAACTGTGGCAGAGATGTATCTGTTCTCTGCCACAATAATGCTTATGCCACATGTGTATAAGCACAGTGTCAACACATACTGGTCGACAGACCGCCTGATTTCAACCCCAGCTTTCAGTGACATTATACCAGTAAATAGATTTGTGTTACTGTTACGTATGTTACACTTTTCAGACAAAACAAGGCCTGACAGAAACGACAGGTTATATAAGATCAGAAATGTGTTTATGTGCCTGAAACAAAAGTGCTGTATGTATTTTTATTCCTTCAGGAAGCTTGTTATTGATGAGTCTTTGATTTTGTTCAAAGGAAGACTCTCATTCAAGCAGTATATACCAAGCAAGAGGAAACGCTTTGGTATAAAGTCATTTGTTCTGTGTGATTGCAAAACTGGTCTGGTTTTGGATATAATTGTGTACACTGGCAGTAAAACATTGCAAGATACCAGGAAGTTACTGGGTATCTCTGGTGATGTGGTTAGAACAATGATAGAACCATATCTTGGTAAGGGGCATATTTTATATACTGACAATTGGTACACAAGCCCTTTACTCGGTGATTTGTTACGAGTGAACATGACAGATGTGTGTGGCACAGTGCGTGGAAATCGTAAGCATATGCCTAGGTTCGACGCTGGCAGTTGTAGAGGTGAGGTGCAGGTGTTTGCTGCCAATGACATCATGGCATTACGGTGGTATGACAAACGTGATGTCACACTGTTGACATCAGTTCACTGACACGAAATGGTAGACAATGGCAAGCAGAATAGAGAGACCAATGAACCCATTGTAAAACCTGCAGCTGTGATGGATTACAACCTCAATATGCACTTAGTGGACAAATGTGACATGCAGATTGGGTTTCCTCACTGTGTTTGCAAGAGTTATAAGTGGTACATAAAACTCTTTTTCCATCTTCTTGACATTTCCATGCTGAATGCTTATAATATGTATAAGTTGAAGACCAACAACAAACCCAAATACGGTGAATTTTGTTTGTCAGTCATCAGACAAATAATATTCAAGTACCAAGGAACAACACTTGCAATAGACCAGCGCCCACGAAATTATCAACACATGTCCTCTCGTTTGAGGCCTGGTGATCACTACCCCATACCACTGCCTGCTACTGCTCCCAAGAAAAATGCTCAGAAGAGGTGTTTTGTCTGTGGACATGCCACAAAATGCCCACAAAAATGCAGAGACACTCGTTTTATGTGTGAGGAGTGTAAAACACCATTGTGCTTATACTCATGTTTCAAAGAATTCCACAAGCTGCAGCAGTTCTAGAAAAGTGTCCAGTGATTATACATATGTATATATATTATAGAACAATCGTAATAAAATTTTTTTTATATTGTTTGTTTGTGTAAACAAGTTTTAGGAACATTATGATGATACTACTGTTTTTGCTATAATCGTGTTACATTCAATGAGTGTATATAAGAACATTGCACCATACTTTGGTCTCACAGGCCACAAAAGTTATGTGAAAAAATAAAATAGTGAAAAAAACAAGAAATCGTCGAATAAAAGTAAACCAAAGTTTACTGGGTGAGCGGCAGTCGCCACTGTTGCCATACGCTGCTCATTTTCTGCAAACTTCATGCCTCTATATCTTGGTAAGTACTGATGGGATTTTTTTTTGGGGGGACTAAAACAATCAGAAAAATAATCTTAACATTTTCATAAGAAATTTTTTTTTTTTTTTCGAATATTTTGCGACACCAGGAGACACTTCAGGATTGGGCCTTTCGACAGTCAAAAGGTTAAAAATAAATCAGGGAATCTATTGCAATTTTCACCATCACTGTACAAGTGAGCGGCTCATGTCTTTTCGCCTGCTGTTTCATTACTCTTTAACCCTTTGTGGGTTGACAGACCCTCTCCGAGACTTGTTCTCAGGGTCGGCCAAATTAAAAAAAAAAAAAAAAAAAAATTCTTATGAAAAGATAGAGAATCTTTTCCCGATCATAATGACGCCAAAAGTATGAAAATTGATGGAAAACTTACGGAATTATGCTCTCACAAAGTTAGCGGTCTCGACAATGTTTACGCATCGGCGATTTTGCCCAATTTGAGCCCTATTTTCGGCCAATTCCAGTGTACTAGTCAAAAAAAATCATAACTATTTCTCTAGAACTCCATTTTTTCTATTGAATGAGTATAAGAAACCACCAATTTACTGATTTCAACTATCCAATACAGTGGTCAGAATTTAGCAATTTTGCCAATTTCACACAAATTTCAAAAGATGCCAATTTCCAAAGAGGATCCAGAATAAACAAGAAAGACATTTCTGGCACTAAAATAACATTTCCTCTGTTTGTTAGTCACATCCCCAGGCCCCTCTTATATTTCTTGGGCATTCCACTTTCAATTTTTATTCTTACAAAAAATAGAAGATTTACTGTTATGCAGACTGCTGCATTAGTGTAGAAATGGTATAAATAATATCAGCACACTTGTGAAAGAATATTAGACTCACCAGTTGACGTGTATTGGACGCTTGGCATGATTTGTTTACTTTTGAACTTTGGTAAAAATCGAACATTTCTGCTACTTTGAGCTCAATTTCAAGGTACTTTTCATTGTAAAACCAGTCAAAATCATCTCAATTTCTGTAATATGTCTTCCATTCTATAAAATGAGACCAAGAAAACTAGAATACAACAATAAATACCATACAAAAATACAGTGCAAAGTCGCTGTTTTATTCCAAAAACATGGTCAAAGTTTTTTTTCTCATTATGCACTGTGTGCTGCAGGATTTTTTTTATACTGTGCACACTGACCACATAGACCCATTCTTTCATATGTATGCCTACCAGCTTTCTCCCACTAGATTTGAGGGCGCTAGAATTTAGGCGTACTAGTACTCAAAAACCCTGGGTCGTAAGCCGTACTAATATGGCCGAAACCCTCAAAGGGTTAACAAATCACTAGAAACTAGCACATTCCTGACACTACTCAAGACAGCAAGGGTTGCACCAATACACAAAGGTGGTGACCCCACAGATGTAAATAACTACAGGCCAATATCAAACTTACCGTTGCTATTCAAAATCTTCGAGAAACTTGCACACAAGAAATTATATTAATTTATAACAGCACAAAGCATACTCAACCCCTGCCAATTTGGCTTCAGAAAAAACAAAAGCACAAATGATGCAATTGTAAAAATGCTAGACCTGCTTTACACAGCACCGGAAAATAATGAATATCCATAAGGACTCTTTATTGACCTAAGAAAAGCTTTTGATACAGCAGACCATGGCATCCTACTCCACAAACTTGACCATTATGGTATAAGAGGCCATGCACTTAAATATTTCAAATCCTACCTTACTAACAGGTATCAATATGTCTCTATTAAGGATACAACCTCATCAACACAACCAACTGATACTGGAGTGCCACAGGGAAGTGTCCTTGGTTCCCTGCTCTTCCTCTTATACATCAATGATCTTCCCAACACCTGAAAACCTATTCTCTTTGCTGATGACATGACTTAAGTCATCTCCCATCCAAATCTTGCCTCACTCAACACCACTGTTAACGAAGAGCTGCTAAAAATATCAACCTGGATGACTGCCAATAAACTTACACTTAATACTGACAAAACCTTCTATATTATGTTTGGTAACAGAGCAGGTGTTGCACAACTGAACACTGACAACACTCTTATTGCTAAACATAATGAGGGCAAATTCCTGGGCCTACACCTTGACAGCAACCTGAAATTCAGCACCCATATCTAACACATAACAAAAAAAAGTATCCAAAATGGTTGGGATCCTCTTTATGAAAGCAAAAGACTCGGCACGAGATGCAACATTCCCCTGATGAAAAGCAGGGGTGCCATGAGTGCATTGAGAGACAACACAATAAGTGTCAGGGGCCCAAGACTGTTCAATTGCCTCCCAGCATACACAAGGGGGATTACCAATAGACCCCTGGCTGTCTTTAAGAAGGCATTGGACAGGCACCTAAAGTCAGTACCTGACCAACCGGGCTGTTGTTCATACGTCAGCTTGCATGCGGCTAGCAGTAACAGCCTGGTTGGTCAGACCCTGATCCACCATGAGGCTTGGTCTCAGACCGGGCCACGGGGGCATTGACCCCCGAAACCCTCTCCAGGTAAACTCCAGTTAAACCATTTTCAAAACTACCATTAAAAAACATCTTATCTCCCTAACACATCCTATCATTAGCTAACCAAATGAAAACCACCTAATTTTCTCTTTTGTATAATGAACACATCCAGAACAATATAGTCTTACTCTCGTTATTTGGTTGAATTTAGCAATGGGACTCAAATTGGGTGACCTTGCCAATGAGTAAACTGTGCCCAGACCACTAACTAAGGGGTTAGTAAGATGGGGTCCACAGTTATGATACAATTTACCTTACAAAAATAGGATCTACAGTCATGATACAGTGGAGTCTACATTCATGACTGAATGACTTACCTTAATAAGATGTGGTCCAGTCATAACATGATGACTTACCTTAATAAGATGTGGTCAAGTCATAACATGATGACTTACCTTAATAAGAGGCAGTTCACAGTAATAACAAGATGCACAGCAATAACTGGATGACTTACCTTAACAAGAGGCTGTGCACAGTCATAATAAGATGATATAATAAGATATAGACCAACATAATAAAAGAATATACTTACCCTTAAAAGATGGTATCCCCAATTCATAATAAATTACCTTAATAAGCTGGGGTCCACAGTCAGGTATCCACCTCTCCAAACACATGAGCAGTGTGTCATTTCTCTTGATGCGAGACACTGTGTTCATGAAGAACTCAAATTTCTCCAACTCATCTTTTGATATCTGATATTAAAATAATTAATATAAATAAATGTACAAAGCCTTATCCTGTTACAGGAACTCATATCAGTTTATGCAGCTACAATAATACACTGCTAGTAGTTAGGAAGTGGAATAGTCTGGCAAGCGATGTAGTGGAGGCAAGAACTATACATAGTTTTAAGACGAGGTATGATAAAGCTCATGAAGTAGGGGGAGAGAGGACCTAGTAGCGGTCAATGAAGAGCCGGGGCCAGGAGCTGAGTCTCGGCCCCTGCAACCACAATTAGGCGAGTACAATTAGGTGAGTACTGCAACAAAGACTGGGCACATTTATATTAACCTTTTTGGAATTGTTGAATTTGAAGATGAAGAGTGATATCCTACCACAGCTCCAAACCCAGCCCTAAGGTATACAGTGGACCCCCGCATAACGACATTATTTCAATCCAGAAGTCTGTTTGGGTGCCGTTATAGACCGAATTTGTTCCCATAAGAAATATTGTGAATTAGATTAGTCCATTTCAGACCCCTAAAAATACACCTACAAAAGCACTTACAAAAATAAACTTACATAATTGGTCGAGTTGGGAGCTGATCGTTATCCGGGGGTCCACTGTACTATCCCTTCCCAGGATGCCAGCCACAACAACTAGCTAATGCCCAAGTAACTATTTAGTGTTAGGTGAACAAGGTGAACAAGGCCAACTAAGATTTTTTTTCATTTCTTTGCAATGTTTACAATGTATGATTATAATTTTGATCTGTTAAGTACAAAGAAAGCCACTATCATGCTGGGGCATTTCAGGCAGACTAAACCTAATGCCTACAGACTACTTAATACTAGTGATTTTGTGAGTAGTACATTTTCATTACACACTGTTTTTCTTATTACAATAGAGGTAACTAGTTGTTTACAGTAATTAAATTTATACTTGAGATGAAGTATATAAAAAATTACAGTACGTATTACAATTTAGCACAATACAATAATGAAACTGAAACAATTTTAAGTTTGAAGTAATGATTAAATAGATGTACAATCATAAATTATTTAGGAGTTTTTTGAGTAAGTGGTAGGTGTAAAGTGTTTGTCTGGTTAATTTTGGGTGATGAGGTGAATTCTAATTAGGGCCTTAAATTGATTTGCAGGCAAGGGCCTTTTAGTGTGTTCTGGAAATGAATTCCAGATCTTCGGGCCCTTTATGTGCATAGCATTTTTGCATAGGGAGAGATGGATATGAGGCGTCTTGTGTTATGCCTGTGTGTTCTGTTGTAGTTATCAAGGAGGAGTTTGAGAAGAGGGTTAATATAGGAGTATAATGTTCTGTGTATGTAGTAGGCACAATAATATTTATTTATTTATTTAATTTTATGTCTTTGCAAACAGTACACTGAGATTTAGTATTTACAATAGTGGGTTGCAATGCAAAGAGAGCCTCTATTATGCCTAGGCATTATGGGCCTACTTAACATTATTGGCTTACAGTCTACTTAACACTAAGGAGTATATCATAGTTGTACAGTAGGATAGTAATTATTTCATAGTTGTACAGTAGAATATTAATTATAAATGAATCAAAATTTGAATAATACAAAGATATATTTATATTGGAAAACGCTTTTTGTGAAAACAATCATTCAATTATATTCCTGTCAACAATGGATAAAAGGTTCAATGTGATTGTTTCAGTTATGATGTGGGAGTACATAGGTGAGTAAGTGTGTACTGAGTATTTAGCATTTAGTCTAGGGTGATAAAGTGGCTTTTGAGAAGATTTTTTAAATTGTTTTTCGGGACTGGGTTACTTTAATATTTCTGGTAATGAATTCCATATTTTGGGGCCCTTTATGTGCATAGAGTTTTTACACAGTGTGATATGGACATGAGGTATATCAAAAAGAGATCTGTGTCTTGTGTTGTGGTCATGTGTCCTGTTTAGGTTGGTGAGGAGAAGTTTGAGTGGAGGGTTTATATTTGCGTGTATTGTTTTGTGTATGTAGTAGGCACATGAATAAGTATGGATGTTATTAATGGTGAGCAGATTCAGACTTGAAAATTGGTGGAGTATGCTGGCAGGAGTGGGAGTTTGTTATCATTCTTACTGCTGCCTTTTGCTGGGTTATTAGGGGTTTTAGGTGTTTGGATGTTGTTGATCCCCATGCACAAATTCCATATGTAAGATAAGGGTATATGAGTGAATGGTCCAGTTCCAGGAGAGCTGATTGTGGAACATAGTACCTTATCTTTGATAGTATGCCTACAGTCTTGGAGATTTTCTTGGTGATTTTTTTGTATGTGGTCCGGACTTAAGGCTACTGTCAAGGTGGATCCCTGGGAAATTTTTTCCCCTTTCTGTAAGTCTTGTGACTGTGATCCTTTTAAAGGTTATGTTAATTGGATCATTTGCAGCTTTGTTTCCAAACTGAATGGAAATAGGTTTTATCAGTGTTCAGGGTAAGTTTGTTAGTCATCATCCGGCAGATATTTTCTGTAATTCAGCATTGACTGTGTTTGCTAGTATGACTGTGTTTGGGTGGGGAAAGAATTTTATATGTCATCTGCAAATAATATGGGTTTGAGTAGCTGTGATGCATTCGGTAGATCATTGATGTAGATGAGAAAGAGGAGTGGCCCAAGGGACGCTTCCTTGGGGGACTCCTACCGTAAATTGGTTGGGTGGAAGAGTTTGCATCATTTGCATACACATATTGAGTTCTGTTACTAAGGTATGATTTTAGGTAGTTGAGGGAGTGGCCTCTGATACCATAGTGCATTAATTTGGAGTACAGCAGTTCATGGTCGACTGTATCGAAAGCTTTACGTAAATCAATGAAAATGCCCAGCGGGACTTCTTTCTTTTCAAGTGCGGTATATATTAGTTCTAGCATGTGTATGATAGCATCATTTGTGCTTCTATTATTCCTGAATCCAAACTGACAAGGGTTTACTATGTTGTGTGAAACGAGGTAGGAATATATCCGTCTATGAATTAATTTTTCAAAGATTTTAGAGAGCAGTGGTAAGTTAGATATTGGTCTATAGTTATTCAAGTCAGTTTGGTCACCTCCTTTATGGATCGAAGTGACCCTCGCTATTTTGAGGATTGTTGGGAAGGTAGATGATTCAATGGATTTGTTAAAGAGCATTGCAATAATTGGTGACAATACTACTTGAGAAGCTTTTTGGTACATAAAAGCAGGCAAGTTGTTTGTTTCCTGCCTTGTTTTTAACCCTTAAATGGTCCAAACGTATATATGCGTTCACTCGCGTAGTGCCCCAGATTTTTTGAGAAAAAAAAAAATCTTTTTTTTTTAAAGGGAAAAAAGAGCATGTGGTACCCAGGCATCCCCAATTATTTTAATATGGCACACAGTGAGTGCACACACCCATTCTCTCATGTCTAGGTAACTCAGGCTTATCGTGGCAATGTTGAATGAATGACAAAGAAAACGTATATATACGTTTGGGGCACTACGCCGTGACGTAAAATATTCGTTTGGGCATTTAACCCTTTGGGGTCGACAGGCCCTCTCAGAAACTTGTTCTCAGGGTCGGCCAAATTTAAAAAAAAAAAAAAATTATTTTTTCTTATGAAAAAATAGAGTTTTTTTTTCTAAACATTATAGGATAAACAAAAAAATTTTACCATCAATACTTACGGAGATATGGAGTGTAAAGTTTGCAGAAATGAGCCCCCCTATGGCAACAGCGCGACTGCCGCTCAACCGGTAAACTTTGGGTTTTCTTGTATTTGAAGGGTTTTTTTTTTTTCACTATTTTTTTTTTTCACATAACTTATGTGGCCTATGAGACCAAAGTAAGGTGCAATGTACATATATACACTCGTTGTATACAACACAATAAGCACACAAACATAATTATCAATATATTGTTTACAAAACTTGTTTACAAAAACAAAAAAATACAAAAAATTGTTTTTTACTATTGTTCTATAATATATTATACCAATATTTCAGTCACTGAAAAATATTCCTATTAGTTCTGCGCTTGTGGAACTCTTTGAAAAAATGGTGTCATAAAAATGGGGTTTTATCTTTCTCCCTCATTCTATCTCTTTCAATCTGTCTCTCTCTTTCTGTCTGTCTATCTCTGTCTCACAGGTACACATAAAAAACAAGTATACATAGTATTTAAAATTTCCTAGGACAACCCAAGAATCCAGACAAAGTGCTGTACTCCGCTTGAAGATGTGAGTAAAAGTGATGACCAGTCTTGTGGCTCCTCTGGACAGAGAGCTAGACAGATAGACAGATAGACAGGGAGCTTGACAGACAGACAAATAGACAGACAGAAATGTTAGTGTACCAGCAGAAACAAAGGAGGGGATGTTCATCTAAACTTTTATTATTTATCCACTCTTTGCAAAAAAATCATCTCTTTCAGAGATTCCCCTTTTCCTTTACTGTATGTTGGGTTCTCTTTTGGAATAAAAAATTATTAAAATTCACTTCTTCTCTTCTTCCTCATCCTCTTCCTAATTCATCCCTTCCTCCTTTTTTCCCCCTAAATCTTTTTCCTAACCTTCCCCTTTTCCCCCTATCTTACTACTATCTCCCCTCCCCTCCTCCCCTTATCCTTTTTTTCCCTATCTCACCTTGTTTCTCTTTCCCCTTTTCGACCCTAATTTCCACAAACTATTTTTCTTCCCCTATCCTCACTCTTTTCCAATTCAATCACTAAACCTCCTCCCTCCTTTTCCTCTTCCCCCTATTCTCCTCCTTACTCTTCCTCCCTCCTTTTCCTTCCCCAAAGAAACACAGACCATCCAAAGTACTTTTGTTTTCCCCTTCCCTCCCCATGTAAAAACCCAAAGGGGTTTTGGATCTCTTCCCTTTTATTAATTAAAAAACCCTTTTAAATTCAATCTTTTAAAAATCCTTTACAAACTTTTTATCCTATTTGTTATCTTGTTCTCACATATACATAAATGAATAAACCAATAACTTATATTTTTAAAAATTTCCTCGGAAAACCCCCAAGAAGTCCCAAAAATGCTTTC